CCCCTGGCCAGCCTCATATGGACAGGCAGACCCAGTCCTCCCCGCCCCCCCCGCCAGCCTGGCCCCGAACAATTGGAACTTGTCGTCATTGTTGTGGTATGAAGAATAAGAACAGGTTCAGGGAGAGGGAGGGGGAAGGGGGACATCAAAATATCTTGGAACAACAGGGCTGAGATTCCAGCGGGAGGGGGTGGAGAGGAGGGGGTCTTGGACGCAGAGAGAACCCGCCGCTCAGTTTATGCAATTGCTACCCCCCAACGGTCCATTTGCTTTCTTGCGTTCTCTCTCCCATCCGTGCTACAGAATCCTATCCTCGAATGCGACCTCACAAAGAGACAGGGGTTGCAATCCAGGGGCAAAACGAAAAGAGTTCATTATATGGGGGCTACCAGATCTGGATTGCAAAGCTCCAGATGCCCACCAGAGGGCCACCGACCATGTTTTCCGCCGCCCCCTGGTGGTCACCTGGAGCATTGCAGCCTAGTCTTACAGTGCTCTCTCTCTATTTATATTATTCTAGTCAGTTTAGAGCAGTGACTTCACTTGGGCGTAGAAATTAATGCCAGCTTTGTTAATGGGGTGCTTTTAAATGACCGAACTGGGCAATATCAAGAGTTTCAGGTTTCTGAGAGTTCCTTTCTCATCAAGTTGAAACGAGCCTCCGGTGCTTGCTCGGGGTCAGAAACTGGGGGACGCAGAGAAGATGTCAAGAGCATCATAATTTTTAACTGTCCTATTCTCCCTATTTGGCTAGCTAGCTAAAAGATACTTGCACAGCCTACCACTTTCTTAGACATAGACCGAAGATGAGTTCCGACTGTTTTTTCAGCGGAGTTAAAAACCTTGATTATTTTAGGTTTCCTCTCTGCATTAAATCCCCACCGATGGAGGTGGGGATGGGGGCAGGCCTGGTAGAAATGCCTCCCCCCCCCCATGAACTAATAATAGAAACCTGGAAGGGGTTCTAAAACAGAAAACGGCATGTGACGAAAGTTTAAACAATATCTCTTGTAATCCCACATCTCTGATCACAACGACCTCCTCCTGATTTAAAGTAAATAATCATCATCGGAATAATAGCTGCTGTTGCTCTTATCATGATTAGGTAGCCCACTCACTGTAAAGCTGGGACATGGAGGCTGAGAAATGACCCCCCAAAGACCCCCAAAAGAAGCAATAATCTAGGCTAACAAACTCATTTGGGGCTTTTCTGAAAATGCAACCTATTTTTTTTTTTTAAAAAGCACCGTCCTGCCTCTTTTTTGCTGCATAAATCTGTCGCACCCAGGCAGAATTCGGAATAAGTTCGACGTAGAAATGTGAGGAGGGCCACCTCTCCAACAGGACAAAAATACATTCTTGGAGTTGGATGCACGCAACCCTCTCTGGCATTTTGGAGTTGGTACGAGGAGGGAGACTCATTCTCTGCGATGCCAGGGCTTGCAAAACCACACAATATCTGTAATGACTCTTGTCTTCTCTCTGATAAGGAAAAGTGAAGCTTGTTTGAGCTTTCTCCTCCTCCTTTAGCAAACATTTGTCTCCATTTCAAAAGAGGAGGCTTACTGACCGTTGAGAAAATTATCTAGGACAGTGTTTCTCAACCTTGGGAACTTTAAGAGGAGTGGACTTCAACTCCCAGAATTCCCCAG